TCCTAACCTCCTTTTCACGCTTACTATAATCCTTTTTCGCCCCTTTTCGACCTCCTGGATGGTCAGCTGCGTTGAATCTTTACGTCTACGCAAGAGGAGGTGGTGTGTAGTGTATCCGTTCAGTTTTTCTTCTTCTTTTTTTTTTTTCTTTTTCTTCTTTTTAAAGGTTGGTTTTCTTTTGTCTCCCGCAGTGTTATTTTTGGTTCGTTTTTCGAGGTGTTTTTTTGGGGGTCTCTCGGTCTTTTTGTCTTTGTCTCTTTCTCGGTTTTGGTCTCTCTCTCTTTCTCGTTTTCGGTCTCTCTCTCTCTCTCTCTCTCTCTCTCTCTCTCTCTCTCTCTCCCCCTCTCTCTCTCTCTCTCTCTCTCTTTCTGCTATTATCATTATCGTTATTATCATTATTATTATTATTATTATCATCATCATCATCATAATAATCATCATCATTATTAATATTGTTATCATTATTGTTATTATTACTATTATTATAACCACTATAACTATTGTTATTAGTAATAGTAGTAAAAGTAGTAATAGTAATAATACTGATAATCATTATCATTATTTCTATCACTATTTAAATCAAAAATTATCACGAAAATAGCTCAAATAACTCAAATTATTCACACAATATTCAAATATTATTACTGCAATCAACATAAAATACAAATTTCTTTTCAAACAATTACGCATTTAATTACAGTACCATTCTCTACGACAGTTCAATTTTATAGACTCATCGGTCGCAACTTTCTAAATCATGCCGCTACCGTCGTGTCCCTTTAAAAAAAAAAAAAAAAAAAAAAAAAAAAATGCAAATGATCTTGTCCCAAGAAGCTATCGTAAGATCTTTCCCTCGAGAAATAGCAAATATTCCCAGACGGAATTGGAGAGCGCGTCACGGGGAAGACTTTTCCCTGGGGATGAAGGGTTGGGGGGGGGGGGGGGTAGAGGATGGGGAGGGGAAGGGGTGGAAGGGGGGGAGGGAGGAGGAGGGGGGGAAGGGTGCGGAGATGGGGGAAGAGGAGGGGAGGATGGATGGGGAGGTGGGGGGAGGAGGAGGAAGGGTAGAGAGATGGGGGAGGTGGGGAAGGATGGGGAGGAGGGGAGGATGGGGGTATGGTAACGCATTACGGGGGAAGACTATTCCCAGGGGATAGAGGCGTGGGGGTTGGGGGAGGATAGAGAGGGGGAGGGGGTATGATAACGCGTCACGGGTAAGAATATTCCCAAGAGATAGAGGCGTGAAGCTTGGGGGGGGAGAGATGGAGGAGGGGGAGGAAGGGGAATGATAGGCAGGTGGGGGAGGGGGGAAGGGGGAGAGTGGAGAGGGGGAGCGGGAAGAATGGGGAGGAGGTAGATGGGAAACAGGAAGAAGAGCAGGAGGAGAAGGAGAAGAACAAGGAGGGGGGAAATGAGAAAGAAGACGAAGAAGAAGAAAAACAAGACGAAGAAGGAGAAGAATAAAAATAAGAATGAGAAATATGAGAAAGGGGAGGAGGAGGATAAGAAGAAGGAGGAGGAGGAGGAGGTGCAGAAAGAGGAGGAGGAGGAGGAGGGGAAAGGGGTGACGTCACATGAAGCGTTAAATGAAGATGAAAGTAAGATTCCCCAGAGCTTGACGGCAGTGGGAAAAGGAGAGAAAGAAATATATAACATCACACCCAAAATAAATAAGAAGGATCGAAGGAAGGAAGAGAGAAAAAAGGGACCTTCAAAAAAAAAATAAACAAACAAACTCGTCGTTTTCTTTCAACACTTTTTTCCCCCCGCATAAAGTGAAGAAATTAAGAGCCGTTAAAGAAAACGGAAGAACGAGATACCTCTCTTTCTCTCTCAGTTCTGATGGAGACGAGAGAGAAGAAGGGAAAGGGAAGGGCAAAGCGATACTCGGAGGGGAGGGAAGAGGTGACAGAGGGGTGCGAGAAACGGAGGGGAAATAATAAAAAAGGGGTTTTGCCCAGGTGGTGAGTGAGGGGAGGCGCGAGAGGAGAGTAATAGTTGGTAATGAGGGAAGGCGACAGGGTTTCGGTGGCTCTTGCTGGTTTTGTGTGTGTGTATGTGTGTGTGTGTGTGTGTGTGTGTGTGTGTGTGTGTGTGTGTGTGTGTGTGTGTGTGTGTGTTGTGTGTGTGTGTGTGTGTGTGTGTTGCGTGTGTGTGTGTGTGTGTGTGTGTTGTGTGTGTGTGTGTTGTGTGTGTGTGTGTGTTGTGTGTGTGTGTGTGTGTGTGTATGTGTGTGTGTGTGTGTGTGTGTGTGTGTGTGTGTGTGTGTGTGTGTGTGATTTGGTCGAGTGACGGAGAGCTGTCAAAATTTGTGGTGGTGGACGGATATGTGTGATTTTTGATGGGTGGGGAAGAAGAGGAGGAGGAGGAGGTGGTGGGGCGGAGGAGGGGGGAGGGGAAGGGAGAGGGGTGGAGGAGGCTGGATGAGGAGGGGGACGGGGAAGTAGAGGGCGAGCAGGAGGGGCTGAGGCGGGGGAGGGACGGCCGTAAGGGTGGACGG